CCAGCCACTCCTCGGAAGGAAATATGCATTATGTATTAATATATAATTTATATGTTGTAACATTCAAAACCAAAACCAAACTCACTGCTGTTGAGTTGAATCTGACTCATAGCGACCCCTCCTTGGGTTTCCGACTTATAATGTTATAACGTTATATAGTAATATACATTACCTAAGGTGTGTGTGTGTACACACACACACACATATATATTTAAATGAGTATGAAAGATGGATTATTGTTTAGAATACCATTTATGAGACAGGTTAGACAGTATGTATATACCCATCCTCTCACTCAGCAGTTCTACTTCTAGAGACTTATCTCAAAACCAAAAAACCAAACCCATTGACATTGAGTTGATGCTGATTCATGGCAACCCCATGTGTGTCAGAGTAGAACTGTGCTCTACAGGGTTCTCAATCACTGTTATTTTCTAATGTAAACTGCTAGTTCTTCTCCGAGGTGCCTCTGGGTGGATTCAAACCAACAATTTTTGGTTAATGGCTTAGTGCTTAAGCCAGGGACTCCTGATTTACCTCAAGAAAATAAAAGTAGGAATGAAAATGTATACGTGAAGAGATGTTCACTGTAGCATAGTTTATAGAGGCAAATAATTAGAAAGTATGCTCAGCAATAGGGAAGGGAGTAAATAAATGGAATACTTAGTAGTAACTAGAAATACTGGCATATATCTTACATGCTGACATGGTGGTGCTCTTGGTTTACTGTTGAGTGGGAACAAAACAGACCACAGAACAGCACATAGTGGGTATGTGTGTATTTTTTTGGGAGAGGGGAAGGGGTAGAGGAGAAAAGTTCACAGAATTTTAACAGTGGTTATTTTTGGTAATGAAAGAGATGATTTTTTCTACTTCTTGTAAAAAACATAAAAAATGATGGGTATTTCAAGTGCTGGGAGACTCTGAATCATAAGTACTATTTTTCATAGGCGCTTTTAAATATTCTTACTTAGATTTTAGGGTGTTGCTAAATGAAACATGCCTTACCACCACAGTTCAGTCTCCAACTGGCTATGTGACTTCAACTCTCTGGGCCTTAAGTTCCCCATCAGGAAAATGAAAGGACTTGATTCAAGGATCTCTTAGGTTCCTTCCAGCTCTAATGGTTTGAAGTTTTATGAGTTTCCATTACATAGTGCTTTTAAACCACATAAGTCATTAAGTGATTAAGAAATTTCTTAATTCTTAAATGGATGATTATTTAATTGGCCTTTTATCCAGGTCCTCCTTGCTTTTGCTCCTTGCCTGCCCACACCCACCTCCCCAACTAGATAAAGTAGCTTTATCAAGAAGCAGGTAGGAGACAGAGTGTGTACTTCAAACTGGCCAATTGTACTGCTTGCTGGTCATAACAGAAAAAAGTCTGGTAAGAAAGTAAGTTCAAACTATTGGTTTTGAGCATTTTATTTATTTATATTATTTCTCATCATGATTAACTAAGGTCTCCCCACTAAATACTGAACCTAAACCTTATTAACTATCTAAGGGATAAACACCTCCTCCCAAATACTATTCTGATCAGGACTTTCACCCTGGCGTTTGGATAAACTCTAACCAACAGTACACTCAAGCAGACATTTAACATTCTCCAGAACAGTTTCTAAGAGATTCATAAGATGCTAACTGGAAATGTAAGTGTCTAAGAAAAAGAAAGCAAGGAATCATCGCAAAACCCAAAAAGATGCTGTAAGGATTTGGAGTTAATTCATTACTTTATCTTATGGGTTGAATTGTGTTTCTCAAAAAGATATATTCATATCTAGAACCCCTGGTACTTGTGAAGGTGGCCTTGTTTGGAAATAGGGTCTATGAAGATGTTATCAGTTAAAATAACATGTGGTCACACTAGAGTAAGGTGGGCCCTAATCCAATATGACTGGTATCCTTATAAAAAAAAGGAAAAGAGACGTGGAGAGCAGAATGCCATGCAACAGAGGCAGAGATACGGTTTTGCTGCCACAAGCCAAGGAACACACAGGGCTATAGAAGCTGGAAGAGATGAGGAATGATCTTCCCCTACAGCCCTGCTGACATACTGAATACAGACTTCTAGTCTCCAGAAGCATGAGAGAATAAACTTCTATTATTTTAAGCAACCTAGTTTGTGGTACACTTTATAATGGCACCCTAGGACCTATTATACTTTACTATTTCTAACCTAACATGTACTGTAGGAGGCAGCAGCAAAACTAGCTAAGATTCCAAGCTACCTTGGCTTGCTCAACTCATTCATTCATTCACTCACTCACTCATTAACAAACTAGCTAACATAAATGGTATCATCCCATACATGTTATTCTGTAATCTATTTTAGAATACATAATCCCTGACTTCCAGAAGCCTCGGACACTAACTGCACTTTGAGGATCTAGACAAAAAGATCAATGGACTCTGCCTGGGTTGATTTCGGCCTCTATTACCAGCTGTGTTAACTTGGTAACAGTAGCTGAACCTTTCTAAAAAGGGCAATAATAAAAATAAGTTAATATTTATAAAGTACTCAGACCAGTTCCTGGCATACTTGACACATTTAAATACTACTCACTGTCATCGAGTCAGATCCGACTCACAGCAACACCTCTTTGGTTTTCTGAGGTGGTATCACTACAGAAGTAGATTGCCCAATCTTCCTTCCAAGCAGTGGCTGGTGGGTTTGAACCACCAGCCTCCTGGTTAGCAGTCAAATGCCTTAGGCAGTATGCCACCAGAGCTCTTATTTAAATATTAGCTATTGTCAAATCCAAATTTTTAGAATGTGAAATACTTAGATGGTGAAACACTTATACATTTAATGCCTCATATTACAGGAAATTAAGAGAACTCAGACCTGCAAAGAGACCTCAGAAGTACTATAATTCGGCCTCTTTGCCTTTTAGATGAACATCCTGAGCACAGAAGCCTTTCCTATCTGCCCCAAGTCCTAAAACACTGCCAAGCTTCCTCTCTGAATCCCAACACACAGCCTCCTGCAAATTAAAATACAATGGAAATGTTCCACTCTAAACAAAGAGAACCAGTTTTTAAAAAGTGTAAGCATTATCTGTATACCTTAACATACTTATCTTCTGAAACTGCAGTGTTTGCTGGCAGACACGAATAGCTTTGATTTTGGGTATTTGATATGTCTGTACAAGAGGTGTCTGGAAAGAATCTTGTGGTTGTTAAGTTGTGTGTCATCTTGGCTGGGCCTGGTTTTGAGTGGCTGGGCAGCTGGATGTAGTTTCCCCATGATGAGATTGCTAATCAACTCCATGGTGGAATCTTCTGGAGCTGCTGAGTAGCTAGCTGCCTTAGGGACGTGGTCTACTTCCAGTATATAAGGAGAAGTTTTGAGAAAGGTCTCTACAGCTTTTTGGCATGCTTGGAACCTGTATGTAGCCAAGGCTTCATTCAGCAGCCTCCCATGCTCACTGCTGATCTTGGGACTGTATCTGGACTTGAACTAGTGGCCTGCCATGTTGTTTGGTAATCTTGGGACTGGGTTTCTCAGCCTCAGAAGCCAGAAGCTGCCTGGGGTAAGAAAAGCCTCCAGCTTCAGTGAGCCGGGGACAAGAGGCAGAGCTGAAGTTCAAGGTTGAGGGGGCTTCACCCGGCCCC